AAGGGGCATGTTCTTTTAAAAATACAGAAATACCCTGTTTTCTGTGGTCACATCAATTTATGGTTTGATTCTCTCATCACTATGGGGCTTCGAATTCTCCTAAGCTTTTATGGCTTTTTATTAACTTAAACTGTATTAGTGATAACAGTAACTGCCCTATGTGCTCAACTTGTGAGACAGCAGCACTTACAGGAGAATCTTGGTAGTTCATCTGGGGGGATGGACAACATGTGACTTCTGCTTCAATAAAGAATAAGTAAATAATAATAGTAATTGTTCACTTTAAACATTTACCTTCCTACTGGTTGCTTTTAGCTGTTATGTCTGTTTTAAGTTAAGCAGGGCCAAGCCAGGTCAGGCTCTGAATGAGTATCCTCAAAGGTAGTTGTTTTGCTGCAGGAAGTTTCTTATAATTCAGTAGGCAGCAATCTCTTCTAAACTAGGACTGAAACTCTCCTCCAAAATTAGTGTTGGGAGGACTTTACTACTGTACTCCTGTATTGCAAGTGGACTAAAATTGAATCTCAGATCATCTTGTTCGCTCAATAAATAAATTAAAAAAAAAAAACAAACAAACAAAAAAAACAACCAAACATCCACCATAAAACTCAGTGTGAGAATAAACACATCTGGCAATATTCCAATTCTTCTACTGCCATTTCAGTGAAGAGGGGAAGTGTTATTAGAGAAATGTTGGAAGCTGAAACAACTACATAGCTACCACTGTGTCTCTATGCAATCATGCTCTTGAAGTCTTTACCGCCCTATGTATATATGAGCAGAGAGTGTGATTTTTGACGTCATTGGTTCATGGATCTCAGCACATGAAGCAAAATAGGCAATCACTTTCTTTTTTGTCTACAGTGCTTTGATGTGTGAGTTGATGCATCCACAGTACCCAGTAGAGGGGGAGGCTGGGGAAGAATGAATAAAGCAAAGCCAGTTGCCAAAATTGGCATCCAGCCCCAGCTCTTGAATATTGGACCACCCTGAAAAGCATTCATATTAGGGTTGAGTAGTATAATTATTAGATTGTTGGTCTATGTCCCAGTAAAGTATGTGATTTTGTTATTCTTTAAAATATGACCAGACTAAATATGTTGTCAGTGTCATCAAAACTAAGCTAATATTGTCGCTATCTTTGAGCCAAAAGAGTGCTGGATTTTGCATTCTTTTCCAGTGCTTGGTCCTATAGGCTGTGCTTGTACTGCTTCATTGTATGACAGCATTGTTCTGCAATGTTAGGGGCTGTCCTTAAGGTCAGATGCTGCAAAGAACACCATTTTGGATGCCAGAATCTTTGACAGTTTTCCCTGAGAAATTAATGATCACATCGCAAAGGCAATATGCTAAAGGAAAAAAACAAAGAATTACTGGTAACAATTTTTCTTTATAATAAAGCAGACCATGGGATGAAAGGGTAGTATTCTGCATTTTCTTCATAGTAACTGAATTCCGCAGCTGGTCTTTTCCATACAGAAAAAAACTAAAGAGCAAAAGGCATTATGTGTTATTTTATTTCTGTAGTCTTATCTCACTGTAGATATTTTTACAAATTCTGTGTATTAAAATACTTTCTGCTGTAGCATTAACCTTTGTCATGCTGTTGTACATCTTTCAGTCTGCACAGCTTGGTTGCCTTTGTTGAGTCTTCAGTCCTGTTTCGTAGGGTCAGCAGTATCTGTGACAGCAGTTTAATTGTTACATGCAGTTATACTGTTATTTCCCCTTTATATTTCACATTCCTGTCAATGTTCCTATTTTCTTGAGGCTAGTTTTTATTAAATATCTACACAAACAGCAGTGGAACAAAACGGCATATAATTGCAAGCAAACCTATCTACGATGCCAGGAAAAAGAAATACTTGTATTTACCTGTTATTGCCAGGAAGCACAAACAGAAATTGTGTTTCAAGATGTGTGGCAGGAACTGTTTGCACTTATTGTCTTTGAAACACCTCTCTAACATCACAGAAATGATTTTGCATTTGTATTGTTTTTTTTTTTCTTTTCTTTTTTTTTTTTCCCCTCCCCAGATTCCAAAATATTCACAAGCACTTAGTTCCATGCCAATGTTGGTAATGATTTTGGGGATACAGATGACATTCACCTGCATTATGAAAACAATGCTGTTTTCAAATGAAGTAGAATTACTAAAACTTAGAACTGCCTAGAAGCACATAATATAATAATGTATCTGTTATTAGATAATATTTTAATGAGGCTATAAATTGAGAGCTCAGATGCATTTTGGATTGTACAAATCCAAAGAGATGCATTCATCAGACATAACCAAATTTACAGCAAGGATTTTGGTTTGGAGATCATTCTACCTGCAGATACAGCATCCAGAGAGAGATGATTTCCACTTCTGGGCTATCTGCCTGCAATTGGTGCTCTGGATAAATTTTTTCCCCCACTCTATTCTTTCTCCAGTATAATAAGGATTAAACTGTGACCTAATTTATTTATTACAAAACAAAAACAAAAACAAACAAACAAAAAAGAAGTTTGATGCATAAAATGTGACTTATAGATTGCTCTTGGCATATTGTAGAAATAACATCCAGTATAATAGATATGCAGGTTGTAGGAAGGTAGTGAATTGCCACCAGGATTAATTTTAAAGGAATCTGGTCATCACAGATTGCATTTTAATTGCACTCTCTTGTTTAATATGCTTGCTTAATGCTCTTTTCAGTACAAAAAAAAAAAAAAATCCTATTAGTTTCAGTGTCATTGAATTAATATTTTAGGTGATCAGCAAGCATTTGGATGATTAGTGCTTAGAGCTGTCAACATAATGCAGAATATAGACTCAAATAATCATGTTCAAGGAAAAAAATTTGTGGTTGTATTTCATTGGAGTTCTCTAATTCATAGTGTATGTGTATATATATATATATATACACAGTAAGCAGCACCTCATGGATGGGCTAATAAAAGTAATCTGCTACCATGGTGCTATGGATAATTTAATATAAATGCATTTTAAAAATAGCTTTATATATATATTTATTATATAAATATGTATCTCAAATGTCAGTAGGTGGATGTTAGATTCAGTTGAAAGCTTAACAGCATGGACAGCTAAGGCTTGTCTCATGATCTGATGGAGATGATGTGTACATAGAATCCAAATTAAATAATCTTTGAGTGGGGAGTCAAAGTGAAGGTTCTGCTTAGCTGAGGACACTGTGGCACAGATCACCTAGGAAAGGCCATTAATGCTTAGCCTCTGAGGAATGCAGGATAGAAGATACCTGATCTGCTCAATATTGCAAAGAAATATTGTAAAATGTGCAGTGTTGGAATGAGATTCAAACACAAATTGCAAAAAACCACTAGAGATTATTTTAAATGTAAGATAAAGTGTAATTTTCAGTTTAGGATCAGTGTGGCTTTTCAGTCAAACTGGTAACCGAAGGGTGTATGAAGAACTTAATGCCCTATTGATTCTGAGAACAGCTTCCAGTTCCTACAAGAAGACTTTCCTAGAAACACCTCAGAGATTCAATTTCTCCATCAGAAGATGTGAATAAGATTGCAGTGGACTGAGAAAGGGATTCTCACTTCAGAACATCACTTCTCATTTAATGTTTAAATGCTGAACAGTGAATCTCAGCCCAATCAGTATTTTGAGGTGCTAAAATATTTCTGAAAACTGATGACAGATCTCACGATAGAAGTCTTGACAGTTGATTCCTGATGTCTCAATCACAGCTTGTTATTGGAGACTTGGAAATACCCAGACAATGGTTCTTGCCAACTAGACAAAATTGAAGAAGTACATTGGACTGATGATATTTGATGCATTTGATTGAATTTTAAATGTATATTTCATCTCCTAGATAAACAAATAACTGTACAAGACATACTTTAAAAACAAAATCTGTTTTCTTGACCTTGACTTTTCTTGACCAAAATATTTAGATGAAAGTAACACTTAAAGATGCGTAGCTCAGATGTTTCACTTTCTGTACTGTTTTTCTTGACGAGTGTAAGGAAAGATAACAATTTATCTTACCCTTACTCCATTCCATTAAAATCACATTCTGATCAGTCTTTTTGAAATGAGTAAAGTCCCATTATTTCATGAGTTAATGAAAGCATTATTTCAAATGTTTGAACAAATGTTAGTGTGCATGTACACTTCTATAAATGAAGTAATACATCTGTGGTTTTAATTCTGTGTATTGCTTTCTCCATTACTGATTTCATGTGCAGATTGAATTGGGAATGCAATATATCCTAATTGCTTCTCATCTGTCAACTACATTTGACATCACAGTTTGAAGTTGAGTAACTTCCTTAGATGTGTTCATTTACTCCTGAAAACCAACTGCAACATGAAAATGTACTTCAGCAGTCTGGGTTTGCAGGAATTGCTGCCTGGGGGAGTTACTAGGATGTAATAAACAGAGATAACTTATTTTCAACATCAAGGATTTGTTATGTACTTCTCATTCTCTCTTTCCTTCTCTCTCTGGGGGTCAAAAATAATAGGATGTTGTTGTGAAATCTGGGTCCAGTGCTTTCCGAATACAATTAGTGTTATATGCTATAAGATTTTGTGTTTGGTGTATGCTATTAATTCACCCAAGTATGAAATAAGAAGTATTTTACTTTATGTTCTCACAAGTGAACTTTCAAACAGAGTAATACTGACCTTGCAAAATTGAAGATTAAAAGAAATGTATAAAATATTGCTATGAGACATTCTAAGCATTTAGGGAAAATAAATAAATAATCATTAGGTTTACTCATTTAAGTTCTCCAAAAAAGTGATATAAGAGTTCCATATAAATGGCCTACTTAGCAATTTTAAGTAAGTTATTTGCAAAATATACATGGTTTCTATTTGTCATTTGAACCATACTTCATGATGTAAGTATTTGGAATCTCTGAAATGATGCAAGAAAGTGAAATATTTTGCATTTACTGGATTTTTAGGGTAACGAATAAGCTGAAAATGGTAAAGAGTTTTTTTCTCTCCTTAGATCCAGCTATTGTAAATGGAGTTTATTGGTCAGAATCCTTAAATAAGGTCTTTGTTGACAATTTTGATCGTGACCCTTCTCTCATCTGGCAGTACTTTGGAAGTGCAAAAGGATTTTTCAGACAGTATCCAGGTAAGAATAATAGAGGTTACAGAGAAACAATAAAGAATGTATGGCTGCACGTTTCTATGGATCACTGTCACAATTTCACAGATACTTGGAGGTTCAGTTTTACTTACGTAGTTTTCAGAGAGAGATTCCTAATCAACATTTTAATGTTCCTTTTTCTGCTAATTTTCATTTCTAAATGTAGCCCCTCAGATAAATCTTGCATATTCTTTATTCACATATACGCAGGTGACTGACTTCTAAATTGACTGTAGAGAACAAAATAGACCATTTGTATAGCAATGAACTTAGATAACATTGCTCTATCAAGACAAACAATACAATTTAATTGCAATTTATTCCATTCTTGCATAGATAATAATGTGTTGTCTTGCATTTAAAGATTTCAAAAGTTTGTTTTAAAGTTACTTCTACATAGCTTGTAATAAAATGTGGCAATGCAACTTATTTCTATGCAGTAAATTAAATGAATATTAAATATTATGTTTATATATAACTGTGTATCAAATGTGCTACATGCTAAATACAATAAATACAATAAGATGCTAAATAAACTGATCCTCAACTTCTGCAACTTTGGGTCAGGCTCATAGATGAAAATGTCCTTTTAGCTGACAGTTTAGCAACAAACTGTTGGTTGGTTGGTTTGATTTTAGACCTGAAATCTCAAGTTTAATTTGAGCCATACTATACTATAACCCTGTATGTCTCAAAGTGGCTGAATTGAATGTAGGTTATGTTTGTATTAATTTTAGATTATGGCTGAGTTCTCAAGCTGTACGACACTGAAGAATAGAAAATGTCTTTATTTTAAAGGCGGTAACTTGTTTAAAAAAAAAAAAAAAAGGACTTGTTTTTACCATATTTTGCTTGACTCACAGCCTCGAGGTACTAGATGTAGTGACTGGTCAAAACACAAAATGTGCAGCCTGTAAGTGCAGCTGCAAGCAAGTACAAGCTATTATCAAGGTAGCAAGTATAGCTGTATAGCAATACCTGCTGAGATCACCCAGGAACTGTAAGTACTCATGGCTTGAAAGGAACTTGGCCAGCCTGTCTAGAATCTGGACAGCTCTGGAGGCCAGGTACAATATTACTTCAGTGACACAAATATGGAAAGCATGGAAAGATTGAAGAGGTTTTCAGCTTACAGCAGGCTAAAAAGGAGTGAGGAAGCCATATTGTTTCTAGCAGTCCTCTTTCATTACTGTTTTCCAGCATTTTCTATATTATAATAGCATTGACTGTGAGATTGATTGAAGTATGAAAATGTTAAATGCTGCTTTGCCACAATATCATAGAGATGTTTTGAGCAGTTACAACAAAATGTTGTAATTTAATCTTTTCATCTCTTTGTCTAAATAGGAATTAAATGGGAACCTGATGAGAATGGAGTTATTGCATTTGACTGCAGAAATAGGAAATGGTAGGCAATTGATGTATATTATGTTTAAGAAATGGGGAATTTAAGAAGTTCATTATTTTAAGGAACAAGATGTTTTGTATTTCGTATTAGGTACATCCAAGCAGCCACTTCTCCAAAAGATGTGGTAATTTTAGTAGATGTCAGTGGCAGTATGAAAGGACTTCGCTTGACTATCGCTAAGCAGACAGTTTCATCTATTTTGGATACCCTTGGAGATGACGACTTCTTCAATATAATTGCTGTGAGTGTCTCGAATTTTTCTTCCATTATTTTTTTCCACCTTTTGTTGCTATCCATTATATTTTACATCACACAGTAAACTTGAAAAATGCTGTAGGCAAGTGATTGTTATAAGAGGGCATTTGTAGCTACTGGACAAACTGATTTTCTGATGCAAGCCTCTTCAGGTGATGACAGTGTTTTCAAACTCTTGTTTTCTAGGAGTTGCAATCCAAAGCCCCTTAAGCTGTCATAAGATTGGGAGCAGCAAAGAATAGCAATCTGTTTTGTAGTTTGTTTGCACTTTTCACATTACCTTATTTTTTAATTTGGGGATTTCTTCCTCCTTATCTCAACTGTTTTTATCTTACAGATTCTTCAGTAAAGTGCAATATACAAAATGGTGATTGTGTAAAAATTAATATAATTAGATGTTAGCTCCTGAAGCTTGCATGGCAAGATAAAATGTCAATTTACCTCCCAACTTTTTTTTTTTTTCTCAGTGTGAATTTAAAATGTGTTGTATGTATACTGAGTTAATTGAGTTTCAGAAATGTGAGATGCTCATGAACCACAACTCTAAAGCATGCTAATGAATACAAGAAGCCACTGCATGCCACCGTTTTGCTGACCTATTTTAAATCTACCCTTTTTATTTCTAATATTCACATTTTTCTTCTAATTATAACACAACACTTAATATTGATAATTAAGTCAATCCACATGCTACTGCCCAAAAGTGCAGTTTAACCATCTATAAAATTGTCTGAAAAGCGATGCCTGATATTTAGCTTTAAAGATTCATTAAGTTCCAGGACATTTTTTTCCACGTTGATGCTATGATATGACATTATTTTGCATATAACAGCAAGGGTTTTTTGAAGCTTTATGGGGAGGTATTACTGCTGCTTTCTTAAAGTGATAATTTAGATCATAAATAGTACATAATGTTTTGATGTATCGAATAGTATTCACACATTTTAAATAAATAACAAGAGAGTGGTTTTACAGCTATTTAAGCATAATGAGAATAATGTGGGTAAGGGTGGTTTGACCATGCCCTAAACTGACATCACAACTGCAATTTGGTGGGGGAGGAATTAATGGTTTAATAATTTTCCCCTTGTGGATATTGTTTTGCTTATAAGCAGTAAGATAAAACAATTGATTAGTACTTGGTTTTTTCATGCATCTAAATCCTAAGAATGTTTTTAACTATCTTACTATCAAATGCAAGGATTTTGGCTTTCCCTTGTTGCAAGGGAAGCATCCTTTATATTCTAATGTAAATGATACCATTAATATGAATGCAAATCATTGAGATTGTCCTCCAACACAACTGTGATTAGTGTTAATTTAAAAAGCCACCATAATAAGAAGTAAAAACGTGTCAACTAAGTAATTACTAAGACATTTGACTTGCCATTTTTAGTGCATAATCTCTGATTTTTTTACAACTCGTAACAGTTATTGTAAGCGATGTGGAAAGACTACGAAATATTTATTGGAAGAGGTTTTCTTGTTGTTTTGTTGTTTTTTGTTGTTTGTTTGTTTGTTTGTTTGTTTGTTTACTTTGGGAAAAACAAAATGTTCATCTACAACAAAGAATGTGAAGCAAGGACCCAAAGCAAACCTTTTGCTGAAATAATAGTACTATGTACAGATATTTCAGTATGCTTAAGTATGAAGGAATGTCATATTTTTTAAAACTGTAATTGAAAATAAACAGAGCTGTGCTTAAAAAATTGTTCACAGTGGCACAGGGCAGCTCATGGCCCCCTTCCACAGCTCCCAACACTGCAGCCCCTCTTGCTTGGTAGTATAGGAAATTCTTATAATAAGAGATGTAATTACTATGATAATTATAGCATGTGTACTAGGTGATTTCTTCATCTAAAGGTTGGTTTGTTTTTTTTTTCTTTTTTTTTTTTTCTATTCTATAGCCTCTTTCAGGGTAATTATGTTTATTTGCTGAAATAAGCAGGAGTACTGACTGAGAGTGCAATTTTATTCTTATCGGCTCAGATGCTCAGTTCTGGTAGGACACTTGTGGGATGGTTGCTGTGCAAATATGGCCCTGCAACTATTCACTTTTCACTATTCACAAAGAGGTACTGCAGAGATGGAGGAGGCTGTGACAGGATTGGCAGTGAGTGGGAGAGGTGTTATTCTGTCATATGGAAGAAGGGTTTTAAGGAGTTGTTTTGAATTAAATATCACAAAATAATCCTCGCTGTCTCCTCACAAGGCAAAAGTGATAATTTAAAGAAAGCACACAATTTGTTTGCTTGAAAATGTAACAAGCTGTTAATAGCAGTGCTGTAGAGAAGGCAGCCAACCTTTCTGTGAAGAATGGTGTAGGTAGGCTGGCACTACATTACAGACTCCTTTTAAAATGTGATGTGTTAGAGGAAGGTATACTGAGGGTCTGCAGTAAAGCCAGGGGTACTGTGACTAATGCTCAGCAGAAATGACTTCTGAAGCACTGATAACAGCCAATACCTGAAATGCCTGTTCAGATGGCTACTCTGTGAGACCTGGGACAAAAAGTGCAGTATCTCCTTCTCTTCCCAGGTCAAATTGTGAGGCAGAATAACTCTGGACAAGCAATACATGTGTACGATTAAGTGAAAGTTTTGAACCTTAACAATCGTATGGCTTTACTATGCACAGTGATTAATGGAGGACTCTTATGAGGAAGTGTGTCAGGAATTAGGAGTCAGATGGATTAAGAAGTTCACTCACCCTAAAGCATGCCTGCATTTTGAAGGAAAAGAAGGAAATAAAAGGAAAATAGTGATGAAAGATGTGGTAGAAGACTTAAAGATAATCAACAGGCAGAATGAAGCTAGCAGAAGGTTTACACAAACAGATGAGAAACTTCTGTGTTTGTTACAGGAAAGAAGGAAGAACACTTTTAAGTTTACCAAAAGAGTAGATGAGATTAGGGAAAGGCGAGATGTTTTCTAATTTATCTGTTGAAAGAAGGCAGGCCTTGTTTAAAAAGTGTCAGGGTTGATAAGGGAGAAAACAGAGCAGCATTGTGGGAGCAGGAATGAGTTACCTTGTAAAAGGCAATCGGGTGGCAAAGATCACACATCTCTTATGGAGCTCAGTCTCAAATCTTTGTTCTGTGCAAAAGTTGGACTGCTGTAAGCCAGGGTCAAGTTTGGAAAGAAATTGAGCATTGAAGAAATAGTTATATATATCAATAGAAGAATGGGGAATGGAGCTTAGTAAAAGGAAAATTGAAGTCTGAAAAGCATTTTGCAAAATTTGTGGTTGTCAAATCTGTTAGTTTTTTATTCTCCCTTTACAATATTTCACTGTACAAGAAGTTTTTGAAAAAAATTTCAGTGTGCTTTTTGTGTTGTCATACAATTCTGCATTCTGTACACAAAAAGAAATTGAGAATTCTCATTAATGATAATGGGAATTATGATCAGTACACACTAACATCGTTAAAAATTCAGTTAACACTTAAAAATATTCAGTAGAGAAACAAAACAAAACCTGCCAATCCTGAAAGTTACTAGCTATACATTAACTGGTTAATTCATATCCGCCATGTTCATTTGATTTTTCACTAAAATACCTTTCTAACTTTATAAGTAAAAGAAAGCAAAATTCAGTGCAAGTCTTTCCAGAGAGTAAACATAAAAACATAATGTTAAAAATCATTTCAGTTTTCATGTTCAGTTTGGAAAATCTATCTGAAATTGATGGACTAGATGATTGAATTGCAAAAAAAAAAAAAAACAACAACAACAACAAAACAAACCTGTTGAAGCACAAGACAAATTTTGTGCTGCCTTTGTTAAAATTTAAGGTCAGTTTACTGGTACATTAAAGAAATGCTGGCAACAAGAGAAAAGGCATATTTTTCCAATTCACTTTGAAGCATAACTCCAAGTCATGCATTAAATTAACAATATTGTCATAAAAGAAGTACTAATTCTGTTCAATGTTGAAATTTTTCAAATGCTTTTACAAAAAATGTAAACTGTACATTAAAAGAATGAAATATTAACTGAGCTGAGAATGCCAAATCAATTTTAATGCTGTTGTCACGCCATATTAGGAAAATATATTAGAGGAGTATTATTTGTTCATTGAGAGCACAGTAGCATAGTTTCTGGTTTCAGTTTGCTGAATTTTCCATTGTAAGTATTTTCTGTGTCGTCCTGTTTAAGTCCTTGCATTCATTCAGAATGTTTAAACCTATTTTTTTAACTGACCTGAGTAATCAGATTCTGTGTAGGTAACATGGCAGGAGACTGAGCGAAGGGAAAGCAGCCAATTGTCAATCTCCATATAACTGCTCCAAGCCACGGGCTGTGTTTGTATGTGTGTGGGAATGCTAGGACAAGCTTGGAAATACCCGAACAAGAATTAAAGGAATTGGTTTGGCTTCGTTGTTTGGTCTTAGGGTGGGCTGAAATGGATATCTTGAGTTGTGTGAAATCTTTTATCTGTGTTGTTGCACAACACAGTATGAAAGTTATTTGTTTCTGTGGATCTTGTTCCAGACTGCTTTGCTAAAGAATAAATATGCAAAATGCTGAAATAAATGCAAACTACTTGCATAGGTTTAGAGCCACATCTCCTCATATTTTCAGAGTATGGATAGTATCTGATTATACAAGATAAATCAGCAGCTATCTGTGATTCTTCTTGGTTTGGCCCACTCATTCTGTTTTATGCTATGCCAAGAAACAACTAGACTGGCAAAATAACGTAAATTAATAAAGAAAATAAATGTAAATAAATAATTTAATACTACTAATAAAGTAATAATAATGTGTCCTCAGGTGTTTAAATTATAAGAATACTTAAAGCAGGCTAAGGTTTTAAGAGGAGATCGTAAACCATGTTAATTCTTCTCCCTCCTTTCTTCAGTGAAACACAGGCTATACACAGATTTAACCCTCTATACTATAGCAGTGCAGATATCACATCTGCAATGTGATAATGATTTCCTATGGTTGCATGTATGGATATGGTACTGTGTAATGTTAAGAAATACCAGAAAAGCTGAATGTCGTCTTCTGCTCAAGTAGATGAATTTTGTAGTAGGTTATATAAAAATTGAGTACTCACAGCTTTGAACTAAAGGAGAAATCTCTATTTCAAAAATCTCCTGGCCCAGGGATTAACAGATCTGTATCAGGTATTGCTGGCAAAGTCAGCAGTTAGTAACAAGCCTTTTTATTGAAGATCAAGAAGCAAATTCATTTAAATATGAAATTCTACATGTCCTAGAAAAACTGCAGAACTGAGTTCAAATTGCTGTGAAAGTTTGTGAGAAGTATGTGGAGGTTTCCTCTAGATTGAGAAAATTCTGGAATGCCTTTTTATTCCTTCTGCTCTGAAAGAAAGTTTGATAAGTTTAAAAAAATTATCCCTAATAATACCGCAATATATTCTACAAAAAGACCAAAACCGTTTAACATGTGCTTGAAGCACAAGCTGAGTATTTTACTGAAGCTGAGAGTTGTACTAGAAGTCTTACTACCCAAATGTGCCAGTTTAAGCAGCAAACTCTTCTTGAATGGCTCCACGTGTTGTATCACCCTTTTTTCGGTTTTTGTGAGTTAGGAAGATGTTTGCTATTTGGGGAATTCCTTTGGGAACTGAAATGATTTTGTTCAGTAAATTTTTCTATCTAGTAGTATTTTTTTAATATATGTAAGGGAAAATAAAGTATATAATGCAGATAGCATTTTTCTTATTGTGCTTTTATTTGTATCTGTACAAGCACTGGCAAATGGAACACATCTAGGTTATTCTTGTTATCCACAGAAAACTGCCACATAAAATATTAATTCTGCATAACTGCATAATTCTTTTTTTTTTTTCCATAAATAGCAGATTACTTAAAATATTCTACAGTGATATTCGCAAGGAGAATTAGATACTGCAAGTGCAAATAGTGTCACAATTTGGCAGGGTTTCAGAAGGGTGACAGAAGGGTGAGTATAGATTAGATTAGTATAGAATATAGATATATACATTTTCCTTCTTCCTCTTTTGATTCTGTAGAATGAGACTGCTGAGGGACTTGAAACATCTTTCTGTGACAGTATGGGCATCCTTTATACTCTGCAGCATAATAATGATAAAGATATTGGGTGAAGATACTGGGCATCTGTCTGGGTTATGATGTGGCTGGGAGCCATGCAAGCTGTATGTCTGTAGAGATAGTCTGGTGCTGAGAAGTCTGGACTATTTAATTATAATATTAAATTAATGAAAAATAATTACTATTTAATAGAAATTGGGCAGAATGAAATTGTGCTACTTAAGTACAAGCTCTGATAGAGTAGGAACTTGTGATTCATCTGTTTGCTGATAATGATAGATCTGGAAAAAAAGGGCAGTATTAATACAGCATTTAGAACTATGTATTTTGCTGTTATATGTGAGATATTTGAAATGATCATGACTGAGAAAAAAACAGCATAATTCTTTATTGCATGTTGGCTGACTACAGACTGCTTGGTATCATGTAAGAAAAAGCATGCCTTTGTTCTAGCTTCCAAAAACAGCTACCAAAATCATGCTAAAAGCCCAGGCTTAATCAGGAAGTACACTGATTGAAGAACATGCTAAAAAAAAACAAAAAACAACAGAAGGTGTGAAAGCAAGAGAAAGCTTGGAGTAGTGATTGGTGTGCCAGTGTGTGTTACAGGTTTTCAGTGTGTAGTGTAGTACTGGGATATTTTTTTGTATTTCAATAGTATGGAAGGCAGTTTTTACTTTGGTCTATAGTAGGAGTTGCTTTGCAGATTTTGCATTACTATTTTGCAGTGTCTGTCAGGAGATGGACTGGAAAGCAGCCTGAAGAGAAACTGCAGCTAAAAGTATATCATTTAGTAGTCGAATGAATGGCTATGATGCTGGGATGCACAGAGGACATTCCCAGTGACTCTCAAGTGTTTCGGTTGTCACTGCCTTGTGTTTTCATATTAGCTTTGGAATAATAGACGTGTTGGCAGGCTCTCATATATTGGAATAACACTGATGGGAATAAAATAATTAGAAAAGCATGCAAGTCTGCTAAAGAATTTTTGCATAAATCCCTTTCTAGAATTTTGGTTTGTTTTTAAACATTTAACCAGCTACTTTGTAGATGTAAATATTCTACATATCCAGCAGTAGGAAATAAGTTTCTCTGGGTATATACTTCTTTATAGTTAAGGACTGAGTCTGACACAGCACCTCAAGAATAACTTGATGAAATTCTAATTAAAAGCTCTTCCCTTTGCAGCAGTAATTATGTAATTAATTAATTAGTGCATTGTTAAGCAGTGCACTGTTCACATGAATGGTGATGACAGATGTCCGTTGTGGAACAGGTTGCAGCGATCTGTGTATATGCGTATGTTGTACAGACAAAGGAATGGTGTTAAATTGAAGAGGAAGTCGATCAAATTCACAGCCACAGCAGAAATGAGGTTTTGCAGTGACCAAGAACCTTGTGTAAGCAACAGTCAGAAATGAATTGTTGGAAAACTTTTTTTTTAATTCTTGTTGAGATGGAGGAGCAAGTGAGTAAATGCATACGTTAATCACTGGAAATGCTGTCCCTGATTGTTTTTGGCTTAACTTCATATCTTGTCTGCTATGGATGTTCTGATTCACTTAATGTCTGGGAAAGAGTGAATACAAGTGGAGCTTAAATGCAAAGGCTCTTTGATCTGTGGTAACTTCCAGATTAGATCAAATTAATAAGAATTAAGTGAAGATCACATCTTTACAAGGGATATCATAGAGTTTTTGAAGGCATCAATTAATCTGACCTGCATTGAAAGGTTTAAGATTTAAACAAGTCGATTTTCAATTAAATCACTAGAGTATCAATAGTTCTGTTAGATCTACTGAATGCAAATGAGGCTGTTCATTTAAATTCTTAAGATGCTTCTGAAAATGAATCTGGACTGTCTAACTTCAACCTTGAAAGAAAAGCGGAGAATTCTTTCAGGATCTATCACAGCTTCATGTATCATTGTGCAGTGAGTTATTTTGCTTGACTTAAATTCTGACTCTTAAATCCTGATGTATTCAGGATTCAAGCTCACAGACTTTTTAGCGTAGTTATTTCGCTATTAACCTTCCAAAATGTGTTAGCCAATGCTTCAGTTATTTGTCAAATCTTTTGTTTAATATGTAACAAAGAATTGGGAATTGTGACTGAGATGCATCAAATCCAAACCCTTAATCTCTTAATATTATCCAGATTTCAACTTGAAGGGTATTTATGCCAGCTAGTGTGTATAGTACACATTACCTCCACCGAAGCTGGCATCTGTTCCATTGAATGCTCCTTTTAAAAATTCTAAACCTCTGAGATATTAAGAAGCATGACAAAGAAAAATGTCTTTGGTCAGTTTTTAAAAATGAACTGAATCCAATTGTTCTTGCTTTATATGCATGCTTCCCTCCAGTTCTAAATCATTACATTGTATCTTTCAAAGCTTTTAATTAAATTTTCATAATACTTCTTATTTTTCTGAATAGTATAATGAAGAACTTCACTATGTAGAACCGTGTCTGAATGGAACATTGGTTCAAGCAGACAGAACCAACAAAGAGGTAAGGAATGAAAGGAACAAAACAACAGAGAGGCTGCGTTGCCTAAAATGTGCTGTGATGACCTTTTCCTAGTATAATGGATTACATTATTGCAATTAATAAATTAATTATTCTACTTTTGACATTTCTAAGGAATCATGTGCGACTCAGTATGAAGAAAAATATTTATCTAGCTATTTAGATTGATTAATCCTAATTGAAAAATACAGAAATTACTGAAAACACACTTAAAAAAAAAAAAAAAGACTGAGGAATAGGTTGTGTTCTTAAGTCACACTAATACTAAAGTTGAAACAGATATTATTCTATATGAATTGAAAGTGTGACTATTCCAAACAGACATGTCAAAAGAATAATGTATTAATCCAAGAAAATCCAATGTGTGTGCAAATGCATTATATACTACTGACTTTTTTTTTTTTTTGAAATAAAAATACATTGTTTATTGAAAGTGTTCTTTGAAGGACTATCACATAATGAATCTACAGTTTAAAGCCTGATTTATTGCCTGCCATTCAAGTGCAGTTGCTCTGTAGAAGCAATACTGCATTGCATGTCTTAGAAGGTTAAGATAGGATGGTTGGTACCAAATAAAATTATTAAATTCTGGGTTTAATAAGATAGTAGAAAAGTTCTTGTATATTGAAAGGCTGTTAAAGCCATACCTGTAACTACAGAACTTCTCTGGTAATGAGTGTTGCTTTTGCCTAGATGATACAAAGCTGCTGCCGTGTCTTAAAAGTTTGTCTGTGTCTTTTCTACCAAAGACAGACCAAAGGGTTTCAGCTCAGCACTGAATTGTACTTAGGGTTCAGCTTGACAGTTCATTTTCACTAAAACAGTCAATGAGGCATTGCAGGAAGTAGCAAATATAGCAATGAAAACACATTTCTAAGTGTGTCTATCTTAGATCTTTTCATGTATGCCAAGATGAAATTAAGTTGGTCTGGTCCTGCGAAACTTTATTGTACTACTCACATGGGTTCTTCTTATTTCACCTAAATATACACCGACATTCCACAGGAATTATTCTTCAGGGGCTACTTCGTTAATGTGCTTGATGTTCTTCACTTTTGATTTTTAGGATATCTACATAGAATTTGGTTGCTGAATGGAGCAACGTGAATTGTTGCTAATCATTTCCTGTTGAAGGCCCTTGTTTGTGAACTGTTATGTAGTTTTCTAAAGCAGCACTTTATTGAATTAACCATATGAAAGCTCTGCGTGTTCTAGACTAAAAGCTAAAGATTTAAATATATTCCCAAGATGTATTGTCTGTAATTAATTCAAATACTGATCCTTCCTTCACTCTGCAACTGATCAGAATGCTGATTAATATATACCCATATGTTACTTAATGGCAGATTTATTTTAATTGAAGTAAATAAAAAGTTTCTGTGCTACTTAGATGATGCTCAGATTTTATGAGCTAAGTACAATTTCATGTTCTTCAGAGTAAGCTTCTACATCCTTTCCAGTTAAGTACTATTTTTTTTAATCTGATGTCAGTTTGTGTTTTGCTTTGCCTTTAAGTTGAACAATATATTCAAGGGTTTGGAGAATAACTAAGTGTCATCTTTTTCCATCTTGACGGTTATTGATATCTTTCCCTTGAAAATAAACTTGAGATAGGTAGCAGGTCATAGTTGTATGTATTTTTCCCTTCCCTTCCCTTCGCTCTTTTCTTTTCCCACAGCCGTTTTAGTGAATTAAGGTGACAAGTTGAGTTTACTCACTTATTTCTTGATTCATGTAATAAAGGAGCCCAAAAGAGAATTTATGAACCTGAATTGTTTTATTAAATAAGTAAAGTAGCAACAAAGCGAAAGCATGAGTAATATACCTTTGTAACATTCAGCTTAACCAAATAACTATTTTGGAAAGACATACAATTTTCATTATAGTTGGGATAGTGAAAGTAGGAAATATTTTTTCAAATGCCCCATCACACTCATGAGAGTGACTTGATCAAGATCACTCCTTGATTACAGCATTATTATCTGTCTGCTGCATTGCAGTAGATTTTTAAAGAGCGTAAAGTAGTTATATATCATTATATAATACATAATAAATATAAATTTATAATAAATAATTTTAAAACTTAAGATATTCATACATTTTTACTGTGGAAAAGGAAGAAGAGCTGGATAATAAATAGGTTTTCACCTAAATTTCCAACACGTTAATAATAAAATTTTTAAAAAATGTTTTCTTTTGATAAGGAGTGAAGATGCAGTGATAAAAGTGATGATTCTAAGCACCTAAATCTGTTCCTTGCCAGCTTCAAGAACTGCACATACTGCAGTTTTGAGTTGTAAATCTTTGTGTAACAACTTCATTTTTTTTTTAAGGTTGGCTTTTTTTAATACTGTCAACAATCAACAAGGAAAAGTTACTTATGTTTAGAAACATCCACTGGTCTTGATCAAGTTTTTTTGTTTTGTTTTGTTTTTTCCCAAAATCTTTGATTATATGAAAGCTTATGTTACAGCTTTCTAAGCAGTGTGGATATAATCGAATTTCTGTCAGCTATAACTTCTGAAAGCATACTCCTTTTGAGAAGCCTGACTGAATCAAGTCAATTTTTGTATATTTAGAAAAGGCAAACTTATAACTTCATGTATAACTGTGATGTGAGTGGCATTAATATATATACACCACAAGTTCTACCAAGACACAAAGCAGACATCCCCGTCCAAGGCTTCTTCCAATGTATAGTGTTTCTGCTTTCATTTTTACAATGAAAGACTATAGTAATTCGGTTTTGAATTATAATTTACAAGTGATATGGCAGGCATCTGCTTCTTTCAACTTTTTTTTTTTTTTTTCCAAAGCACAGCACTATTTTTTGTGAAAAAAAGTATACCTGCCTTGGAGGTTTTCTTTGGAGGTGTGGAGATGTACTTTCAGAATTTTGTAATTATTCTTGATTTGCAGAACTTTCTTCAAGTTCTCTTTATCACAAAGATTAAGTCTGTATGTACACTGGGTAGCATAAATGAGGTAGAAATGAATCTGTGACCCTAAATGTGGCTTAGTAACGTAAAGCATGTAATATGAATTTGAATTTTACCGAACTAACTTATAATTTGGCATTAGCATTAAACAGCTGCTACCTTGAAGTGTATCAATTTGCTATACATATATTTAAAAAAAGAGTGGGAAATAGTTCAGACACTGTTCTGTCACCGTCTGCACTTTCTCTACAAATTACAAACATGTGGAACTGCCTATTTTAATACTGGTTTTCTTGGGCCAAGAGGTTTTCATCTTTGAGGAACTCCATGTTGCAATTTACCTACCCCAAAGGAATCGGATGACATTCTGATTTAGTGTAACTCCAGATTTAAAGTAACAATATTACAATATGCATTCCTTTTTTATATGTTTTTTTAATATGCTATATATGGGTTGAGGACATTTCTCTATAAGCGTTTCCATATGAGATATATCATCTTCTAGATGTACACATAGGCACAATAACTCCAAACTAAGTTGAGAACTTACCCGTGCGTAAATTGGAAGACAAAAATAGACAGGCGTTGCATTTAATTTCTAGTAAACTTTTACTAGATGCAGTTAGCAGAAAGTAAATAATTAGAAGACTAATGCAGTAACAAGACTGGGTGAAATTCCCAATAAGGGGTTGGTAAATACAAAATTAGCATATTTATTATTATTTAAGCATGCTTAATAGTCTATTTATCTGTCTTAGGTCTCCAAAAAGGATTGCTGACTGCATTACTTAGCTGTAAAAAAAAGAACAGCAAAATCCGATCCAACCCAAAACAAAACAAAAGAAACAAAATTCACAACACCAAAAATGGAAAGGCTCACATTTAATTCAAAAATTAAAAATCGATTTTAATTTTTTTAACAGATGAATAGCCATTCTGGACCCTCATAACTTTTAGCTAGCATCAGACCATTGAAAGTGGCTCTGAAGTTTTCTGTTGCAGCTCCAGGCAACTAATTTGTTTAACAGGGAGCTTGTTTTTAATTTGCTATATTGAATCTTGAGTTCTTTGACCAACAAATCAGCTTCCAGCTTTTCATATCTGGTATTTGTTTATATGAAAAAAAACAAAACAAAAAAAAAAATCAGCCTACCAACACAACATGCTAAGGAAAATGAGTGATTGGATAATCATCAACAGCATGCTAACCTGTAATTGCTCTAGCAACTAATCTTAAACAAGATGCTTATATTCATTTTACAGATGTTAATGCAGATTTATCAACTGTTTGTGTGGGTAGACTTCCCTGTGAGGTACCAGTAAATGTCACTGTCTCTTTTTTTCACTGCTTTATATATTGATGTAGTTCCTCCTCACAAATCTGATAAGTCATTACTGAGTATATCTCAAATATTAGCATGCATGGATGAAAATAGGAAATAATAGTTATAGTGCAAGTCTGTGCAAGAATTAGTAACATAAAATCTGGAGAAATCTTTAACTCATTAACAATATTTTTCTTTAGGAAGTTCACCTTTGTCAAACAATAGTATTGTAGTTAGGTGATGTAAATGTATAAATTATAGTGCTGGTATCAGATGTGAACTTTTCCTATGTGGAATCTGTAGAAAATACTTTATTCGTATATGCTTAGACTTTTAGACTAACTATGGTCCTGCAACCCCGTCTAATTATGGCATTCTAACCAATGGTAAATTATTTCTAGTAATCTCAAATCAGATAGATTAAAAGATAACTGTATAGTGGACTGCAAATATTGAGTAGCATCTTGTCAAAAACACAATATTATTAAAACCAAATAATAGGTTTTAATTAAAATGTTGAAAACTTTGTATAATTGGGAATTTAAGCATAACTCAAGCTACTGATGCAGAAGCCCTACAATCAAGAAAAAATAAGATTGCTTTAACAAGGTAAACAGTAAGGTAGAAGGTGGATGAGGAATTAATTTGTTCAGATGCGTACATCAGTTAGCTTACCAATATTCCTGAGTGAAACCTCATAGATACATGGAAGGACCTTATGTGGGCTGATAGACATGAGTGGATTTTTCTTTACTCTCTTTGGGTTATCTTAGAACCCTCGAATACCTTAGATTGGAAGGGGCCTTAAAGATCACTGAGATCCAAACCCCTGCTATGGGCTGGTTGTTACCCACCAGCTCAGGCTGCTTAAGTCTCCATCTGGCCTGTCCTTGAGCACCTCCACAACGCTGTGCCAGTGCCTCACCATCCTACAAGGAAAGAATTATTTCCTAAAATCTAACCTAAATTTCTCTTTTAGTTTAAAGCCATTCCCCCTTGTCCTGTCACTATTACGCTGCGTAAAAAGTATTGGAAGGCTGCAATGACATTTACCCAGAGCCTTCTCTTCTGCAAGATATGTATTTCAGCTACTTCTAAAATGATTGTAGATACCTCTACAGCTGAACACATCCATGCTTCTTTACTGTAACTAGACGCATCTTCTTCTGTTGAGCTCTGGCCCTATAATTTTGTAATCAGACATCAGAGTCTGATTGTCATAATTGTGTGCCTAATTTGCATTTAGAATTACCAAGATTATGCATGTCAATTAGATATTTGAGTTCACAATTAGATATTGCACGTTATGGTAATTGCACATTGAAATTAAACATACAGTTGCGGGCAAATGCTTATGCACACTGTTAGTTGAGATACTGAGTTCAAGCTTTAGATAATTCAAATACAAGGTCTCCAATATGACAGTAAAGCGAAAGTGAGATGGACCAATAATATTGCTTATGCAGTTTGGTATTAAGTAAGCTTTTTAAAATGAAAAGATTAAATTAAAACATGGTCTTTCTGAGTTTTTATGAGCAAGCAAACCTGCTTTCTGGGATCTGTTTCGTTTATGGAAGTTACTGAAAGTAAAATTGAGGAGTTTGTTATCTCATTCCAAAGTCATCTATTGTTCTTTAAAATGATGATTCAGTGGTTTAGCTCCTGTCCTGACGTTTTTTACAGTAGTACATGGTTGAATTATAGCTGTCTTGCAGGACATCTGTAAGTTACTAAATTATTGGATGGCAGTTGCAGATACCTGTAAGCAGGTTATCCAGAAATTGTGACCGACATACCAGGTTGAAAATTTGGTATTCTCATATTGAAATGATGCAATTCTTTAAAAAGGCCTTGGCTTTCTAATAACAAAAGGAGCACTATAGCATGGCTGGTAAGTGTGCAGCAGTCTGCATGTGCGGAAATGCACTAGTCCATTTTCATTGTTTACAGTGAAACAGCCTGAGCTAGATAAAGTGTGGACTGTCTGAGGAAGTTAGTCTTTGTGTTTCCTGTAAAATGAAACATGATGTCTTTCAGTGTGGTTTCAATTAATGCCACGCACTCAGAGCGTCTGGTGTGATAAAGAAGGAAACAAATGTTAATTGGAATGTTATGCAGTTTTTTAGTGGACATACACAGTGCTGAAACTCTTGGGGGGAAAAAAAAAAGATTTAAAACACTTCAAAGATAGAGAATGGAGTCAATAAAAATACACATTCATTTTAGTCACTAGACCTTTTTGAAGAACCACCTTGTCTAGCATTCATCTGTTCAGAAGCCTGGGGACAGCAAACAATTATTTGTTAAAATTCATACTGCATGAAATGGATTTTTAACATTTTTACAATTTTTATATCAAACAAACATTACTATTTTCAGAATGTGTGTTTGTATATATATGTAAAGAGAGAGAGCACTGTAGCAAGAGAAAATATTTATTCTTCTGACATATAATGTGAACTGACTATACACTGGAGATTTTAGTATTTATGAGTGATTTTTGCTAATCTGTTTATTCTGTATTTTCATACTTGATAATGTATATGCTTTGTAGTAAGTTTTCCACAGTGCCTACTGCTGAAATACTCAAAGATTTTACGCATAAGTCTAATTTTCAATAACAAAGTAATTCTCGTTTAATTATGAAGCAGTAAAGTATTTCAGAGAGAAATGTGTTTTGTGATAATTATTTAACATGCAAGATTTACAAAAAGGTAAGATTGGAAACTTATTTCCATGACAAAATTTGGTGATTTTCAATTTTCTGAAAGCTCTGTTCTGGGGTCAATAATTGTGTTATTGGAAGCATCTGTGACAACTGTGAACTGGTCTTAGTCTCATGGATCTTAGAAAGACAGGCTGTAAGCACAGACTGCTCCCACAGCTTGAAAACTTCTGGTCAATGCTTACACTGGATGTTTTGAAATAGTTTTGGACATCAATGGAACAGAAGTGAACTGCTTGTTTTCAACATTTTACTTACCAGCAAACTACTTTTTCTGGTTTAAAATCATCAACTATATGTGAAATTTGTTTTGAAAGGATGTTTCTTGGAGAATTTTATAAATATATTTTAGTTTTTGAAGAATTTCTGTGAACAATTTTAAAATGATGTATGTTTAAATATTTCATTAAAAAAGATATGTGCACTTTCTAAGTTTCTGTAAAGCTTCATTTGCTGAAAAAGTCCTGTTTCTGTCTGTATGCGTAGAAGTCAGTGGTCTGGGAGACTCAGTGCAAGTCAGTTGTGTTTTGAAGTAGTGATGGAAAGCACACCGTGTTGTGCTGCTGACAGGTGACGTAGCCCTTGTCTGGGAAACTGCTTTCTGCATCGCTACTCTCAATTTCCAGTCTGTGTTAACTGAAGTCAAGAATATGCCTATATTTTATGTGAGCTTATACCTAACTTTCAGAGGTATTTTGAAGTAGGATATGGAATAAGAAGAGGTTAATGCATTTCTTGAACGTTTGGATATTTTATATTCATTCATGTTTTTATTATTATTTGTAAAAATACGAAGGGCGTGATGTAAGGGGACAATAGGATTTTAATTCTTCTGCAAACATAATTAGTTTTCTTAGATATATATTAATGTTTTGACATGGCTAATGAAGTGACAAACTTTCCTCTTACTATCTTATTGAACTGACCTTTTTATCCATCTGTGGGATCTTAAAAAGTGCTTTCCTCGTTTGTTTTTTTTTCCCCACTACGTGTGTCTTCATTTTCTTATTCCAAATCGTTATGTTTATGAATTATAATTATAATATAAAACTGTGATTTGTATTACTATGCAATAGTAATAGAGTTTACTTAAGTTAGCTGTGTTTAAGTTGGCAAAAAGAATCGTTTTGCAATTTAGTTATGTAGAGATTTATGCTATTGCTTTTTATTTAGACAAATAAGACTGTGCCTTTTGGCTGTTCAAAGCATTGAGCTGCAATGAACTAGGTTTACTAGGTCACTGCGGACTAATTGTTTTGAAAAAGCAGCCTGTTTTTGTGGCAGTAGTGTATGCTTCAGAATAGCCTAGAGCTAGGATGTAAATTTTCCTCATTTTGACAGACTGAAATTTATTAATGAAATAGAAAGAACTCTGCCTTCCAATATGCAGAGTAATATCTTTTTATTCTACAAAAGAAGATATGTATCCATCAGATAAAATCACAGGTGTCACGCTTGCTAGTTGGTATTTCATTCAGTGTCCTTCTTTTTATGACAGCATGACTCATGAAACTGGATTTTATCCTGTGTAATTCCTTAAAAACCTAAGAGACTTTATTTCTTCTCTGAACATATTATTTGCAAAAGGAAGTGCTACCATACTTTTGAAAATGTGCTTACTTAATCTAAAAGTTAGAACTACAATTTAATATTTGTATTATAGTATAGCCCTTTATTTTTTGCTGAGTGTAAAATTTGTGAAATTGTTCAAACTTCTGATATATCTGGAGAAATAAAATATGTGACAGGGGAACTGTTGGAACTGGATGATCTGGAGTCCCTTCCAGCCCAAGACATTCCATGATTATATGATTCTCTGTTTACTATGAGAGGAATATAGGATGAATGCTGACATGTGTCAGAATTGCTTGCCAGAAGATTTTACCAATGCTTATGGACAAACAATTATAGCAATGCATAATTGATGAAACATTTAGAACTGCAAAAAAATAAGGCTTATGGCTATGCAACATAAACATGAAGGTAATTGCCAATATTTAGCAAGACCTGTTCTCTTAATATTATGCTGACGTTGATAAACAGCTTGACCAGCAATGGGCAAAACAGCTAAACAAAACAATAGGATCTACCAACTTTTGAGGAAACATAACACAAAATAGGACATGAAAACTGTCAGTGAATAATTATTAAGTAGTATTTCCTGAGAGCTAAAAGTTGAATAACTACAGTAAAAAATATTATATGAAGATATGTATATGAAGGTATGTATAAAAACAAACTAAAAGGCAAATAAAGAATAGTTTGACTGAATAACTGGTCAAAAGAAGTCTTGTGACATTTTTAAGTTATTATTATTCTAATATGTCTATACTTTGGTGTGACTTTGTCAAAAACATTGAGCAGGAACTACTATGGTTTATGAATTAGTGTATGCAGTCATGGTAAGTCTCAAGAAAACTTTAATCATTGTAAAAATATATATAAGAATAATCTGACAAATAAAACATTCTTGTTCATTTCAGCATTTTAGGGAGCACCTTGACAAGCTTTTTGCAAAAGGAATTGGAATGCTGGACATTGCTTTAAATGAAGCTTTCAACATGCTCAATGAAGTAAGTTAATGCTTTTCAGGTTTGCGCTGCTGATATTTTTCCACCTCTTTAGCAATTACTGTCGATTTTAAGGTAATAAATTAGAACCAACTCCAAAACTGTCATGACAGTAAAATATTGTCCATAGAACAAGCAATGTTTATATGTTGGGAAGGATCGTTATATTTACTAACTTTATAATTACAGTGATTTTTTTGTTGTTGTTTTTGTTCTGTGTGTGTATATACAGTATGCACCTTTATGTGTCTATGTATTTAAATAAGTTTATTTCAGTTGCTGCTGGTAGGTGTAAAAATATTAGACTAATATGTAAATTTCACAGTTTCAACTATCCTTAAAAGAATACTGCTAACCATTTTCAACTTTGTCTACAACATGTGACCTTTATATTTCAAAAATCTGTTCACGTGAACTTCGTCTTAGTTAAGGACGTCTGGGTTACATTTAAAAAAGAAAGTTGGAGGGGAGGCTTCATCTTACACTGATAGTCTTATTGAGAATCTAGCGGCATTTTCAGAATGGTTCAGGATTTATAGTAATTAAACTCACTTAATTTTGTCTTGCAATTACCTGTATTTCAATTTCTGTATTTGCCTGGGTTATTAAGATCTGAAGATGTTGATACCGAACATCTTTGAAATGCGTGTTTAAAATCCACTTTCAAATTCTTTCCAACCACTGATTTTAGCAGGGTTCATTAGTTGCTGTAGGAATACAGAAGTGGTTGGTAGAGCAGTGAGGCACCTACGTTGTCATGTGACAACTGCAATTATCTCTTTTGGCGACAAATGTAGTCTTTGCAGTGATTACCTTTTTAAAAAAATCAAAGCCAATTAAATAAAATTCTGTGACATTTCAAAGACTGCTAATCACAACCAAATGCTCTGAGCGTCAGGATGCATTGAAATTTTTGCTGCTTACTGATGAATCACTGAGTTAATTGTAGTTCATCATAAGTCCCTTGTCATTGTTATTATTATGGAAAACGCTTTCATCATTCTTGCTATTCAATAAAATTAAAGTTCTAGACAAATATGTGACAATATTACTCATCAAAGCATTTGAATTTCATCTCATTCTTACAAATATTCAAACAACCAAGTAGAATAATGCATATGCACACAGATTAATATTTTAAAATAAATATATGAAGGCATTCCCCTTCATTAATTCCCCTTTTACTATAACTTGTGCATTTCAAAGTATGTTGTTCATGTGAATGCAGAGGGTCTATTTTCTCAGAGGTGTTGTGATAGAACAGGGGGGAATGGCTTTAAAGTAGAAGAGAAAAGGGTAGATTTATAATGGTTTTAAAATAAAATAGGCTGCATTTAGCTTAGATACGAGGAGGAAATCCTTTACTGTAAAGGTGGTGAGGTATTGGAATGTCTACAGAGATGAGATTTTTATAAGCGAAGAAGTTTTTTACAAGAAAAGTTGTAGGGTTCTGAGAAGATCAGCAAATAAGTGAGGGTAAGTTGACTGCAGCAATTTCAGTGACAAAGGAGGTGCTAACCCACATCAAACTAGAGTATTCTGAAAACATGTTGAATCCAAACATTTGGGTTTTTTTGGGCTGCTACTCTGCACAGGTAAGCTGATAAGGTGAGACATGGTAGACAGGGAAAATTAGTATCTTTCTCAGTACCAAGAAAAGAATGGTAGGATGAGGACTTGTCTTACTTGATAATGTATCTGAAATTTAGATAGGAATAGAACAAAAAGAGATTGTTTATTAGCATGTATTTAAAACTTAGTACAACCTGTAGAAACAGAATTGTGTGCAGTGCTACAAGTTATTGGCCTTTTCACATTTTTTAAGTGTTGTGTTTCATACAGAGTAACTGGAAATGAAATAATCTTCCAACTTTGTATTTTGTTGCTAACACCAGATTATCTAAGTTCCTTGAATGCATAAAATAATATACAAACAAAAGAGAACTTAAGGGATAAATTAAAGAAAGGTGGATTCAAAATTAAGACACAAGCTACAGAATCGAAAAATCAAAACTCATGTTACTTAGCCCAATTGACAGACTCTTCTTGCAGGAGAAGAATCCTCCTTCTGTGCAGTGGTGAAAGTTTCCTTGCACGTTTCAAGTATATGTTGGTGTCTGTCTACCTATGCTGTAGTACTGCTGTTCAACAGCATATGTATATTCATTTTGTGAGAATGTGAGAATACAGGAAACTTTGTCCTCCCAGATAAACATTTTTATGAAAAATATCATATGATATGTAATGTGGAGTGAATACAAATGCCATGTGAATAGCATGTCTCTAACTGGTCTATCTTCTGTATCTAACAGAATGTGTTGTATTTAAATGAACTTTTCCTTTCACAGTTCAATCACACAGGACAAGGGAGTATTTGCAGCCAAGCCATAATGTTGATTACTGATGGAGCTGTGGACACATACGACACAATATTTGCAAAATATAATTGGCCAGATAGAAAAGTAAGTGTTTTCTCACCTGTATTTAATGGAAAAATGAAGCTATCTTATGCAGTATGAAGTATTATGTCTATTAAAAAGTCAGTAGTAATCCTTCTATTCATCTAAAAATGATTTTGGCTAACTGAATGTTTCATTAGTGACAAAAATAATGCTTGTGTGATATTGCTTGAGGATAGACGCGGCCTTTTAATGTAGTAATTAACTTCGATAATAAGATATTGTGGAAATATTAACCTTCAAGGTACATTCTTGGCTATTGTACAGTGCTCAAAATTATGTTCTAGGCTGTTTCCTTGATAGGAGGAATATTTTCATTCTACTCTTTATTTTATGAATCTCTACCTCCATCACAAAAAAAAAAAAAAAAAAAAATCAATTCACTGTATTGTGTTAATACTTTCTACTGTTTAAAATGCAAATCTAGTAGATTTGTTTGTATACTTTGTTTGTATGACTACAGCATGAAGCTTTTGCAGCTCAGTAATATCTCTGATGCCTGTTGGAACACTCATGTTTTTCCTCTTTAACATTGCTTCTAATAATATGTTCAAATACACTATTAGAAAGTAAGCAAAACTCTTCACTTATGTATTTCAATAGATATTTTTAATTTAAAATCGTGATAGGACTTTTTTGTGGTTTTTTTTTTTTTTTTCCTGGTTTGTTTGCTTTTTTGTTGTTGTAATTGTTTTTGTGGAGGGGAGGAGATCAGGGAGGAAGAAGATATCAACCCTTCAGGTTTGCTCCCAGAAAGTGTCAGAATTGTAGAACGTCCTGGGTTGGAAGGTGATATTATTCATTTCTATTTCTGCTTGTATTTGGTATAACTCTCAAGGAATCCAATAACATATCAGTCCAATTTGCCATCAGTGAACTTCTCCTGCATTACTTAAAACCAAAATGTGGGGAGATGTTTTTTTGTGAAGTTAAGGGTAATTGAATCTTATCCTTCAGAGTGCATGTGGGTTGCCAAAGGAAGGATTATTGCTTCTCATGTACATCATTATATGACTGGCTAGAATCATGTACTGACTGATGCTTTCTGGACGTTCTAGGAGTTTTGGTTGAGATGATCATTTAAACACAATGTACATGTATATCCAACGTGCCATTGCCCTGGTAATGTTTGTCATATAATCAGGGCGAGACACAACAGCAAATTAGCTATATGTCATACAGAATAACTAATAAATAATGCACAATCAAAAGGGAGAATAATACACAATCTGAAATAGATTGTCTAAAGTATTTTTCAGGAACTCGTGATACTAATGACACAAAAATCATAGCTTTTGGTTGTTTAAAAAAAAAAAAAAAAACAGAAAGAAAAAAGATTTTTAAAGATTATTTCGTGCATTTTGGAGACATAAAGAAAGCATTCCAAAATTTAAGATAAAATGAGTGTGCATAAGAAATACCTAGATGAGTATGAAATATCTATATTAAAGGTCCCATTTCAGAGGAAAGTGTAGGTGAAAAATGTGATTAAAATGACAAAACTTGAGTTACTCTGAGTCATCTGTTTGTCACAATAAGGATATAGCAGAATTACAAGAATGCTTTCTTTACAGATACTTTCTGTTCATTGCAGCACAAGATTAAGTGAAAACTTCTGACTGTTCACTGATTTTACAGACAAGGAAGAGTGAAAACTTAATCTGTGGTTATTCTCAAAGGCTGTCTTAGGTCTCCTTTATTGCCTTTGGAATATACTGTAATAAAATTTCAAATTTCTATTCCTTATTTTTTTTTAGAATGCAAATTAAGCCAGAACCAAACATAATGTTATATAGTGGACAAGTATTTATGGGTTTTAAGATTTGTTTATGTCTGACAAGAATGTTTACAGTTACATGTGGTAACACAAGCAGAGCAGAGTCCAAACATGAGGCTTAAATAAGAAAAAGATTTATTGCATATTTTCCTAACCAATTGGTCAGATACAAAGCTGGTCTGATGAGGTATGGCAATTCCAGTAGCCTATGAGTAATTGTTAATTACCCTGGAAAACTATAGAGTAGCACAAAGAAATAATTGTTTTCAGACTTTTGTATCTGGATGCTGAAAGTATTTCTACCTATCACTTTTCTTTTAATGACATCCTCATATAATTCTATTTTATATAATTCTTACTGAATTAAAATAAGCCATCATGTGTTGTTTCGTTACATACTGAAGCTTTAAGTGAAATTCTGCTGGGTATTTATATTGAGTTGAGAAGGTTGGTAAATTGCATGTTTAAATATCGAATCTCAAGAGATGTTTGGAAAGGGAATGTTACAAAAGGAGGAAGTTAAATGTTTGGTATAGTATTCTCTTGCTGGCATCTTATTACATATTGTGAATGGTATTTCTTGCTCATTTTGCTCTGAGAGGCCAAATTCTGCTGGTTTGAAACTATAACAGACATTGTTTATATATGAAATTGTTATTCATACATACCATTTTGCCAGAGAACCTCTGTTAGCCTTCGTGGTGTCTGGCTATATAATAATCCAACAATACATGCACATATATCGACATGGTGTGGAAGATTCATTACATGCAGGAGATCATAGACGTGTAGTTTAGTGTTCATTTCAGCAAAGTGTTTACATATGTGAATTATTACATCTCAGCTAACTGAAGCAAGAGATTCAGGCATACATTAAAGAGCTTTACTGAATTAAGAACTAAACAAGTTATTCCAAACAATCCCCTCTTTAGAACTCTGTTGTGGGTCTACTGAGCCTTTCTGAGTAGTTGAATCTTGAGCTGTTAGTGAATCTGCATTTTATAGAATATCCATTTAGAGCATGCTTTGTTCATCTCAATCTGTATTTATATTTTATATATATTTAAACTGACATAACAATATTACCTAGAATCTGAGACTTCTGAAGAATATGGTTGTCTCTGTCGATATAACTTGTGTTCTGTTCCCATGTGCGGACATTTGCTGCAATACTGATAAAAACCTATTCTTCTCTGTGAAGTTCCAAATATCATCATCTTGTAATCCTCTCTACTATCCCTATTGTAATTTTCTCAGTGCAAAACTGACAGATTTGTATGTCTGAATGAATATGTTCTGTTTTAATGGGATAACATTTGTGCATTGACTTCTGTTAAGACTTAAGCTCAGTCACAGAGGTTTCCTCTTACAAGCAGTTGAAATCTTTTTTAAGGAATTTTAACAGTGGAGTTCAATTTAGTGCATTGACAAATGCCCTAGAAAACTCAAGTTCTTATTCTGCCATCTTACATCACTAGACATTCAAATCTTGAAAAACCATGTAGGATTTTAAATCTTTTGGGACTAATTATTGAACTTATATTGTGACAATAAAATATATATCCCAATGGTTGCTGGTCAGCAATTCATTATGAAAATAGAAGCAGCTGTAAATACTGCAGAATAATTTGATTTTTTTACTTCTGACTTCTCTATGAAAATCAAGACAATAGCCACTGAGAGTGCTCTTTTCTTAAGGACTGTGCATCTTGCAAACCTTACTGTCCATTTTCATATCTGTAATACTTCAATAGAATCTCGAATTATTCAGTAACTTCTGGTAACGTTTTTATGCTTTCTTCAATTTTTTTAAAAAACAGATAGAAACAAGTTATACTTGTTTGAGGAAAAATCACTCCCACAAACACCCTGAAAAAGATTACAACTGTATGTTGTGAGGAAGCTTAAAGGAAAATTTGGAAGTGTCCATGAACCGAGGCAACATACGTATGCACTACACAAGCTTCTTGCCTTCCTCTTGTTAAGAAGAAACCAGGACTTTCTATTATGTTATTCTATCAGCCTCTAAAGAAGGAGAATTTTTTTTTTTTTTTAATAATAACAAGGGTAGCATCAGTTATAGTCTGTCTTTTCTGTCTTTGTGCTTTCCAATTGCTTTAATAATATAAGACAAAAAAAAAAAAAAAGCATGAAAAAAAATTTACTCATTATGGAGAATAATGGCAAAAGATAAAATAATACCGTTCTCACAATTAATAATTTACATTTCAGTTACTAGAAATAAACTGAACAACATATTCAGTATGTCAGATAGGAAGCAACGTGCAAGTTTTCAACTCAAGAATATCTGCTCTTGTTCTTGTAGATTTTCTCTTCCCTGAATACTACATAAAACTTATGCAAATAAGAAATGGGTGGAACATGCTGTAAACTGTGGTAAACCATCTGAAAGTTATTTTTTGTTATAAATTTGCATGAAAGGTTGCAGGGAGCTATCACTGTGTGCAAATGGGGTCGTCTAAAGCTATAAATAAATGTTGGATCTCAATATGATTTCCAGCATGTACTGAATTTAAGGCTGCAGCTGATCTCCCTTACGATGTCCCTTACATTCCCAGGTACACAAAGTATCCATCATACAGTGCTTAGTTATATGTAGCGTGTCACTTATTCAAGATTCCAATGTGCCTCTTCTGAAGCGCGTGCCTCTCCCCAATTTTGCGTTGTCAAAAAAAGCCAAACCAGAACAAAAAACTTGACCAGCCTGAAAATGACTTAATTGCAATTGCCCTGAAGTAGGTGTGCAGTTGTTTTCAATTATTTTTACAAATAAATGGAAAAATCCCTAGGCAGTTCATCTACTCTATTAACTTAATCTCCAAGAATTAAATTAACTGAGTATACATTTATTAGTTTTGCTCTCACTGTGAAAAATAAATGGCAGAATTTTCCATAAAAGGAGAGTTTTGTCTAAATACTGCTTGCTGAAACATCTGTGGTAGAGATAGGTGAGCACTAAACATTTGCTTTGGGTAAGCTTATATCAAACTTAAGGTTTAATTTTCATCATTTACTCATGCTATCAAGTCTTATAGGCACAAATATTCATGGAAGATGAATTTAATCCTGTATGCAAACATGGCCTTGGTTACATTATCTTTCTATCCTGCCATTTCTTGTCATTTGCAGTTGAAAAAACGTTTCTAATCCCACCAATCTGTGGGAGCACCATCAATGTGGCATTTTTGTGGTTGTACTGCTAGGA